ACAAGAAGTTATAGTAATTTCTCGTTTGACATTCAATATTCCTGGGCCATAACGGTCTTAATAGTCACACAGAGTGGCACTCCAGATGCTCTTGGTAGAGAAATAGCTGGGAAAACTTTCTGCCTCAGACCTAACCCTTGTGATCCAAAAAAAACCCAGAAACTAAGACTAATTTTTCTTTTGAAAATTAAAATCCCTGGACTCCACCAGTGTTAACATTCATACAGAGTGGCACGAGATGCCCACGAAAGGAAGCATCTCGAAACAATTTTCAAACCCTTCCAATTCCAACGACCTAACAAGTTACACTAATTTTCCTTCTAACACTCAATATCCTCAGACTCTGCACCATTAATCCTTAACGAATCTTCCGACTCCCTCGAATATATTCACCATAAATTCCGGGATAACAGCCAAAATGATCGTCGAAAAAAACTTGCACCGTCCACCTTAATGTCTAACAAGTTTCTTCCACCGGCCGAAAATAGATTCGTCAGAAATCGAAAACGGTAATCCGACCGGATTAATTGGAAATGATCCAGTCAAAATAAATTTCTCGAAGCTGAAGCTTCCCTCCGCATCCTTGTTTCTGACAAATCTTTCAATTCCCTGAAATAGATTCATCATAAATTGAGAAATTATACCCGGTGCGACGGTTAATTGGAAACGGCCCAAACAAATTGCTCGGTCGAGACACGATGCACTTAGAACTGAGCTAATCATCCGCGCTTCCGGCGAGATCGCCGAATTCCTTGTATTTCGGAGTAACGCGCGACGCGACAGTTAGTCAACCGGGAGTCGATTCGGTTATCTCTCTAATGTCCCGAAGGCTAAAAAAATATTGGAAACCCGAGGATGAAAACGTTTAAATGTCTCATCGCTTTCAATGGGGTTACTTGATGCCAGACGATGCCATAAGTAACCAGAGAGGATTTTCGTTACGTTGAATAATCAAATCTAAAGAATGAGACGCAAAGGACACGTGGATTTGCACGTTTGGTAGGTAGGGGTAACGACGGAGTGGAGAATCTAGCACCTTCCCTAATACGGCCTCGCGGGCTGACTTGCGTCTGCACGGATATAGAATCCTCCATCTCTCTTGCTACTCTCTCGTGGCACCTCTAGCATCTATAGTATACGCTCTATACTAACGCTACTATACTCCCGACTATAGACAGCTCCAAAAGTCACGCGACGTCTTCGACTTTCTTCCAATACGAAGATAACAGCCAAGATTTTTTATGTTCTCGCTTTAGGCCTTTTCCTATCAGAGTGTGAGATTTTCTAGTCGTCCATGTTGTCGTAAGGGATCTAGAGAATTTTTTCAGGATTATGTACATCTCGCGAGCGGGGACTTTTAGAGTCACTACCATTGGAGATATGTATTGTTTCTTTAAATGCCAATTGTTTTCTGTAATATTTCGAGCTGTAGTTTAGCTCTATGGAATCTTCTGATTGAATCGTGGAATTTTCCAGTCGCCATCTTGATGCTGTCTAGGGATTTTTCGAATTTTGGGGGACCCATGGGAGCAGGAATTTTTGTCCTTCCCACTGTAAATATTATATTTCTTTAAATACCAATTGTTTTCTGTAATATTTCGAGCTGTAGTTTGGCTCTGTGGAATCTTCTGATTAGATTATGGAATTTTCCAGTCGCCATCTTGATGCTGTCTAGGGATTTTTCGAATTTTGGGATCCTATAGAATGGAGTTGATTCTTGACACATTTCCCCTGTAAATATCACATTTTCTTTTCAACGCTTTTCTCTCCATTATTTGGAGTCTGAGATATTTTTATAACCTCCATGTTGTTGACGCCATCTTTGATTCGAATTATGATTCTTTTTGTGGTATTTTTGCTGAGAGATACAAGGTAAATATGGTTTGAAAAAAATGTTCAAGTCCGAGAGGGATCGATCCGCCGACCTCAGCGGTTGCAGCCACTCGTCTAACGCGCTCAGCCATTTCACCGACTTAACTACATCGCGTTAAGCGAGACATATGTGAAACTACGCACGTTTTTTATTTCTCTATATCCCCAGTGTATCTTCTGTGTCGATACAAGATTGCTAGAATTATTCTTTCGCGGGCACAATTTTCATTTTCCGATACGCAAGATGATAACTGTCACCAGAGTACCTTTCACAGTCTCCGTGTCGTTTCTATTTTTAAATTTCAACCGTTTCGTATATTTGAAGAGAGAAATTCAATTTTAGTTGACATGGGTTTCAAAATAATTGGACGACGGTGCTAGCATTGCCATGGATAATATTAACAGGTTCTTCTGTAATAATACTGATAATTATTAATGAGGTTCAAAGCATTGAGCTCTTAACACAGTGGTTCGAGAAAGAGTTAACGAAGTTTTCATGATCTCGTGATGGTTCTATTATTATTCACGTTTCCGGGATTACGCGATATCAATGAGTAAATTTCGATTCAGTTATGGAATATACATAATTATCGTTAAAATATTACCATTCTCACTCGATTCATTAATAGCGACGATATATTATTATACAGGGTGTCACTTGGTTGGATTTGCATAGAAGAAGAAGAGAGCATGTTTGTTGTTATTAATGCAATGAATTTTATAGAGCAAAGGGAAATTAATTTTATTTTTATTATTATTGCTGATTTTATTATTATTGCTGATTTTTTATGTTCTATTTTAAGATCAAAGAGAAATTAATTTTGATCATTTCATTTTATTATCATTACTTTATTATTTAATTCCTATTATAATGCTACCATCAATTTTGTTTTTAAATATCACAAGTAATTGTTATTTCTAAAAAAGGTTGTATTAACGTAAAATAGGTCGAATAGCGCAGTAGTGGACAAAAATAGTCCGCCGCGAATTCTTCGGGTTTTAGTCAGCGGACAGTTAAGTAACCGAAAACTGTTCCAGCGTTGGCCTCGCGTATTTTCGACAAATCGGTTGTTCTGGCTGCCATACGTTCCTGAATAATTATTTCGGGAGAAATAGTACTTGGTTCCTTAGCACAATACCCGAACGAAGACGGTAGTCTGGTACACGTCCAAATGCAACAACTTGTTGATCTCTTTGGTTAAAATTTCAGTTACTATTTCGAATAATTATCATTTGATTTATTTAAACAATTTCCTGAAAGGGCCTCTGGTATTTTGTTTTTCACTTAAACACAAATGGTATCGAGCATATATCCGATTTATGCGATATATTATATTTATATTAATTTTCCAAGGTTAATCAATGTTTATCGAAAAATGTTATTAGTTTATTTTCAAAAATTGTCGTATTTTGTAATCGTATATATACAGTATATTATATATACAGGGTGTCCCGAAATTGGTGGAGGTCATTGAAGGAGGTAGTTCAGGAGGTGATTTGAAACAACTTTTTCCTTATCGAAAATGTTGTACGAGGCTTCGTTACGGAGATATTAACGGAAAACCCCGGACCAATTAGAGCGCGCGTATACCGTTGGAGCGCCCGCAGTAGGCGTGGCTACGCGCTAGGCGACCGCGCTCCGCCGGCATACTCGCGCTCTGATTGGTCGAGCTTTAACCGTTAATATCTCCTGAACGAAGCCTCGGACAACAATTTCGCTAAGGAAAAAGTTGTTTCAAATCACCTTCACTCTCTATATACAGGGTGTCCCAAAATTGGTGGAGGTCATTGAAGGAGGTAGTTCGGGAGGTGATTTGAAACAACTTTTTCCTTAGCGAAAATGTTGT